ATTATTGCCACAATTGGTAGACGATATCGATCTCTTATTTCAAGATATATGGATGATACACAGACTACAAAAAATATTTCCACTTCAAACCAATCTGAACCATTTAAAAATAGTCCAAAAACAACTTCAGTTGATATTGACGACCATATCCATTGTCTGTTGTGGCGTGCAAAAGACTGGACATAAACAATAAACGCGTTGAGCTATGAAAGTATTTACCGTGGTTAATTAATTCATATAATCCATGCTTTAGTATAGATGCGGAACTCATTAATTTATCTGCGCTCCTAATTCGAATAGTTTTTTGTTTAATCACTTGATTCAGTTATTGTAATAACATATTTCTCATATCATCAGCTCCAAAATGATATTTATTATATGTCCGTGTTTGTTTTTTTACTTAATATTAGATTACAATGTTAATTGTATGTTTAATGTATCAATCTAAGTTTAACTAACAAATTTACTTATCTTATTTATTTTACTTAAATGAACTTTTAACTATTTGAATTCGTTTAGTTTTAAAAAACTGGTCAACTTGTTGCTATATTTGTAATTATAAATTATTATCGTAATTAATCATTTAAATTAATTTATTTTATTGTTGTAAAATATATCGCAAACAATTTTTATTAGATAGACTTAAATCTGCTTGTGATTTTAACATTCCAAAATATAAGTATTTACAAACACTTTTAAAACTATTAATATTTTAATTAGAACTTCATGTTTTCAATTTCCGACGTGTTTGTAAAGCTTGACTAGATACAGCGCTAGAGAGTGATGAACTTTTGCTAACTGAATATACGGAGGCAGAACTTTTCAGCTCTCGGGTGTATGTTTGGAGATCAGTCACAATTCTAAACTCTTCTATAAATGCATCTTTTATTGGCAGCTTTAAAGTGTAGAAAGAGTAATAAAGTTGTTGTAATTAAAACAGTGAAAATACATACATGATACACACGAGCCTTTGAAATAACATATATCAGCCAACTAGTAACACCGTAAATAATTGCTAGAGTGCTACCTACTACCAACACAAGGTATACACCTTTTAAATTTTCCATATTAAGTGCGGAAGCGTCTGGTGGTTCTTCTTTAGACTACGTAAAAAAAAAAATATATAATTGAGCTAAAACATTTGATATCTACAATTGATTAGATCAATTAAATTTGAAATTTTTTAGTTATCTTACAGAACATAATCCAGCACCAACTTCATTCCACCATTTGTTTTTCAGTTTCGCTAAAGCTCCTTGCTCCTGTAATTCCAATATTGCTTGGTTAAGTTTGTCTGCATACGGCCATTCTATGAAACGATATAATAGGTAAAAGGTACTTACATTTAATAATCAAAAATAACTGCAGACTTACTCTTTCTCATTGCGATGCCGTATACTTTTTCATCTAGTGCATCACCAAGCTTGCGTAGACCGCATTCACGCATCGTATTGTATTCAATTGACGTAGATTCCATTAGAAAAGCATATTTGACACCTTTTTTTACGAGTTCAACACCATTTTCATTTGAATCAGTAAGTAAGTCTGGATTATTTGTCATAAAATCATTCATTTTTTTATAAAGAGGGTCTTTTGAGGTCTAAGATAATAATTTATTTTAAATTTTTAGTAAAAATAATGGTTATCAAAATACTGGTATATCAAATACTGGTTATTTGATACATATAATGTATAATTCTCTCACCAAAAAAAAATTTCGTGTAGATCCAGAACGTTTAGCACCATAAGTGACACCACCTTTATTATTAGCCAAGTCTTGCACATTATCTATCAAACTCGTTGGTTTTTCAATAGTTAAAAATGCTGCTAAATTAGCAGTATAGGAAGATACTATAATCAGTGTAAAAAACCACCATATAGAAGCAACTAGTCGCGTGGACCAAGCCCTTGTGGGAGAAAGAATGTAAGCAATAATAATTTATGGGAAAAATATTTAAAGTATATTTAAAGTTAGTAGTAATTTATACGTACTTAGGTGCAATTTCTGAACCTTGTTGTAATAAGGCACCTGTCGTAAACCAAAGTGAGTTTCCTATAGTAAATTGATTTTCCAGTTCAGTTGGCTCTTCAACACAAGGAAATGGGTTATCCCATTCAGTTGGGGACAAACGACCTAGTATGAAAAAGCTTAACGATACTCCCAAATAGGTTAAACCCAAAAACCACCACACTTCTTTAGAGAACGGATCCATAAATGAAAATAACGCTGGTTTTGATTTTTGAGGTTTTACGTATAATATCGCAATACCTGAAAATCATTAAAAGGAAATCGTTATATGTATTTAGTATAATAAGAATATTCAACATATGTTTACCCAAACTCATGAATGGTGTTGAAAAATCTACTGCTTCCTGACGTTCTGATGTTATGGTTAAATCTGTTACAATCAAGTCTGCTGTCTATATTTGAAGGTAAATAGGTAAAGGTAAATATAGTGATAACAAAAATTTTATGTAACTTACACCTTCGATAATATCTTTAAGCATACCAGTTGATTTATTTGTGTTCTTATCAAAGGTACCATAGTCGTTGCCACCGTTCATGAAAGTGTAATTAAAACCAAGCTTATCAGCCAGTTCTTTTATTAAGTCAACACCATATCCTTCGTACCGGTTGTTACCCTCTAGCATTTGATGACTTTCAACTACGCTAGCATAAGGTTTATTCTGAAAAATGTTAATTGATAAATTTTCTATGATACTGTAATGAGTAATGTAATGTAATGTAAATTTTATAACACACTTACAGATACTGATAGTAATATCGTAAAAGTCTTATCCGCTAATAAATTATCTACATTATCAAATTGGGACTTAGTAGGTGCTAGTCTTTGAGCACTGAATCCGTCATTTTGATTCCAACTTCCAACTTTTACAATACCTGAGGGTTGCAATTCAATAACATCAAATGTATAGCCTTTACGTACATATCCATCGAAAAAAATGCGACCAGTTAATGTTTTGTTTTGAATATCCATCTAGAGAAAACAAGTATTTGCTGATTAAGTAATGCGATTAAGGGATTGAAATAAAAAGTCGTATAACCGAGCGCATATAGTTTCGAAATGAAGAACCATCCTCTAAAACGTTGTCATTATTTTTAGAACAACTAACTCCAATAGCACGAAGGCTATGATGTTTTAAAGTTTCTGCGAATAATTGCACTGCATCGAATGTCAAAGCCATTTCCATTGTTATGGGACAAGATCCTAAAAAAAAATTTCTGTTTCTGTATTGATCTTTTACATAACTTAAATACCATTTCTAAAGATTTCTTCCACATCTGTGTAGTCAATTGAATTTAATAAATTCTGCATGTTGGGTTGTTCTGGAGAAAACATGCGAAAGCTTGTTATGTTTGCTTCACTATACTTATACTCCTCTAGGTCAAAGGAATGAAAATCCAGGTTGCCAATTATGTAATTGTAACTTTCGTTAATAATACCAACTTGTTGTGCCTACAATCAAATAAGATGGATTTAATGTTTTTTATTAATTATAGTTTAGTTAGGATAGGTAATAACCTGTTTCAAGAATTCCTCCATGGTATTAGTTGAACCTACTACAACTATATTGTTATCGGTCGATTTGCGCACTCTTCTTAAAATCGGTTTGTAATCGCCATTCAGTTCGGAATCGTACCTTAAAACAGTGATAATAGGAGCATTTTTCTTATAATGTGACACTAATTCATGAAGCATGTTTAAATCTTCAACTTTGAAAAAATATTATTAAATGGTTGTTTCATCTTTTTTTTAACTTTTTACTAACCAGATTCATATAGAAACGTAAATTTTGTCCATTCATATGCAGCTAGAAGCGAATAAAGAGCTAATGCCAGATCAGCTGGATGCGGACTTAAATTAAAACTTAACAAGTTTCTATTTAAGAAAGGGTAAAAATAAGGTATATCTTTATATTCACAAACAGTCATAAGGTGTTCGGCAGTGTGTTTGGATGAAGGACCAAATATACCGGCAACACCTGTCTGAAAGAAGTAAAGTAGTTGTTGGTTGTTGTAAGATTTCCTCCACCCAATGTAGTATGTACTTACTTCCAACATTTGGCATAGTTTTTCATAGCCTTCAAAACAATCGCCATAATTGAGTTCGTCCTTTTTTGCGAATAGTTGAGGTCTAGTTGAGCTGGTGTCTACATTAGCTACCTCTATTGCGTAATCGAAAACTCGACCCAGTTCGTAAGTATTTTGATCGGTTATTAATCCTATGATTATTAATAATGATTATTTATCGAAAAATTTATTTTGGTTCTTCAATTCTTCTATCTTCTTCTAATTCTATATATTTTTTATGAAATGAAAACGAAAAATGAGATCATGTGATATATGATTGATTCAAAAGAAAAACAAAAACAAAAATATGCTTCCAAATGAAATTAATTGTAAAATTATTACTATTTTTATTTTGAAAGAAATTAAGCATTGTTTAATTGTTTTTTCCAGGGTTCATTCAGGACCCTTCCGTCCAGGATCGTAGTTATTTGTAAAATACTCATGTTCGAAAATTAATTTGTAGGTAATGGTTAATTAACCTTAATTAACCCTATTTGAACTTCATGTATTTCATTTAATTCCGCCAAAGAACGAGAATATGGGTTTTGAGTACTTACCAATCGGTATGGGCACAATTTCCTCTTGATAACCGTAGTTGCGATTTTTACTATAACGATCATTAGATTGTGCATTACAGATGATTATTTCACAAAATATGAACAAAAATTTAAAAATTTTGTATCTGCAATACATTTTTTATCATTTTTATCATATTGCAATTTTCCAGATTTATTTTTGTTATGACATGTGGATGTCTATTTTTGTATATTATAAGCACATATCAGTGAATAAAATTTTGACTGCACTCCCGTTGAAGAAAAATTGAAAACTAATGAGTCTTTCAAAAGAATATATATATATACACTCGTATTGAAAACAAAACACACTGCTATATATATAAATGCTCAATTTATTTTAAATCAACGTTTTTTAGAATCTCTAACAAACTGTTATAATAAGCGGACACTCTTATTGAGAAAAAAACAATCTCTTTGATTCCTTTCAATTTGTTTGAAGATGAAAATGAAATAAAGAAAATGCTAGTTTTTCATATATTAAATTTAAGAAATTCATTATTTTGTTGCTGTTTTATCAGAGTCGGTTTCCAGAGAATTTATTGACATTGAAGAGTTCCTGCTGCGTGAGTAAACTGATGTAGCGCTCTTCAATGTGCGCTCGTTATTCGAAAAATGTACCACATTCTTAAATTCCTCAAAGAGAGCAGCCGTAAATGGTACCTACAAAATTAATCAAAATACATGTTTCACATTCAATAACATGTTTAACATGTTTCACATTCTGGACTAAAACACATTACTTGGTAATAGTTTGCTTTCTTCCCGACATCTATGCAACATTGTACAACACCAAAAACTACTGAAAAGCAGCTTCCTGCTACTAGAACATAGAAGACACCACTTAAATTGTGCAGATTTAATTCAGATGCATCTCCTGATCCGGTTTTAGACTGCAAATGAACAGTTTTATAAAAAATGATTCAACAATAAATGAGTACATGGTACCATACTTCACACACACCAGCACCGATCTCATTCCACCATTTGGTTTTGATTTGTGCAAGTACTCCCTGTTCTTGCAGTTCCAACATTGCATTATTGAATTTGTCACGGTGAGGCCAATCTGTTTATATTAATAAGTAATATATTTATATTTAATAATGTAAATAATAAATATTAGTAATTGAATAACTAATCAAAGTATTTGGAAGTAACGACTCAAAACTTAAAATAAAATTAATGCAAGTATGTTTATTAATAGTAGATTAAATAAAAAATTAATATTTTGCAGTACTTTTTTTCATTGCAATGCCATAGCCTTTCTCATCTAAAGGATCTCCAACTTTCATAAGACTACATTCGCGTACAGTATTATATTCGATTGAAGTTGATTCCATTAGAAATGCATAATTGGATTCACTTTTTACGCGAAGAACACCAGCCTCATTACCATCAGTAAGGTAACCTGGGTTCTTTGTCATGTACTCATTCATTTTTTTATAAATTTCTTCCTCTGATGTCTGAAATAACATATATAATAAACTTTATTTAATTGAAATAAAGAATAATACAATTCACTATAAAACTCACTGCAAAAAAAGCACGGGTGGATCCCGTTCTTTTAGCGCCATATTGAACATCACCCTTGTTTTCAGATAAATCTTTAACGTCGTTAATAACACTGGTAGGGTTTTCTATAGTCAGAAAGGCAGCTAAATTAGCTGTGTAAGATGAGACCATAATTAGTGTAAAAAACCACCATATAGAGGCAATAGTTCGTGTAGAAAGCGCCCTTTTTTTATGAGTTTAATACTATTATATCAAATAGAAGTTTGAAATATGAAATACAAACATACTTGGGCGCTATTTCCGAACCTTGTTGCAGAAGTGCTCCTGTAGTAAACCATAAGGAATTATTTACTGTGAATTGATTTTCCAATTCCTCGGGTTCCTCAATGCATGGATATGGATTATCCCATTCTGTTGGTGACAATCGACCTAATATAAAAAAACTTAATGATACTCCCAAATAGGCCAAACCTAAATACCACCAAACTTCTTCAGAAAAAGGGTCCATGAAAGAAAAGACAGCGGGAGGAGTTTTTTTTGGTTTTACAAATAAAATTGATATGCCTGTAATGTTAAATAGTATATATGTATCATTTATTGTATAAACTAAATTATGAAGTTCTACCTAAATTCATAAAAGGTAAAGAAAAGTCAATAACTTCTTCGCGTTCAGAAGTTATGGTTAGATCAGTTATGATTAAGTCTGCTTCCTATATACAAATAAATATAAGTCAGCAAAATAAATCAGGGTTTGAATTGCTTGCTGAAAATTAGCAAAAGCAACCATATTTTGACTAATGCATAAATATTAACCAGTCGATTTTTGTCAAACGACTAATTGCTAACGCATTGCATATGAAAATGAAATAAAAATATGCATTAGCAACAGCAAAAAACGTAAACTGGTTTCATTTTGATTGCTTGCTAATAGTCAATTTTACATTTTTGACTATTATGCATTTGGAATATATGCAACTTGCTTGCTTATGCGTTAGCTGCTTGTGTTTTGCTATTAGCAAATGTATATGGATTTCTTCTTTTTGTTTTTTTTTTAAGGGAATGTGTACGCATTATTTCTTTGTTGGTGCATTGAATATAGTTGTGCAAAATTGTAAGTAATGTGTGTGCGTACAATTTGTATGCAATTAATATTATTTTATCTGTAAATAGATTATGCCTAAATTTATGTTTTTTTTAATTATTAAATTTATGATATATATGATATTAATTATTAATTATATATATATGTTTATATTTGTGGGAAAATTTTAAGTAATATGTAGAACATATTATATACAAAGTTGCCGTTATTCTAAAGTGTTTCATTTTAATCGGTGTATCATGGCTCCGCGACTTAATAAATTCGCAATTCTTCAACATTTTAATATAAATAGTGATAGCGATTTAGCAGTTCGACTTCTTCGTACAGCTCGTTGGAGATGCTTTTCAATACAAATTTTTTATTAAATTTTTCTTCTAAGCCACGACAAATAGGGTCAATAATCTTTCTCATATTTTCCGAATTAAGGACATTAAATGGAATAGCGAAATAACTCTTTTTTGCTCATTTCGATTTTAATTGTTTGTTTTCGGAATGATTTTTTCACAACTATTGCACTACTACTTGAGCTGGAATCTTCATTTTTATTTATATTTAACTGGTGCATATTTTGTAAATGTGTTCTTAAATTAAATATTCTGTCCCTCTTCAACGAATGTTTGCAAATTTTACAAACTGCTAAATCGCTATCACTATTTATATTAAAATGTTGAAGAATTGCGAATTTATTAAGTCGCGGAGCCATGATACACCGATTAAAATGAAACACTTTAGAATAACGGCAACTTTGTATATAATATGTTCTACATATTACTTAAAATTTTCCCACAAATATAAACATATATATATAATTAATAATTAATATCATATATATCATAAATTTAATAATTAAAAAAAACATAAATTTAGGCATAATCTATTTACAGATAAAATAATATTAATTGCATACAAATTGTACGCACACACATTACTTACAATTTTGCACAACTATATTCAATGCACCAACAAAGAAATAATGCGTACACATTCCCTTAAAACAAAAACAAAAAGAAGAAATCCATATACATTTGCTAATAGCAAAACACAAGCAGCTAACGCATAAGCAAGCAAGTTGCATATATTCCAAATGCATAATAGTCAAAAATGTAAAATTGACTATTAGCAAGCAATCAAAATGAAACCAGTTTACGTTTTTTGCTGTTGCTAATGCATATTTTTATTTCATTTTCATATGCAATGCGTTAGCAATTATGCAAGCAATGCAATTAGCAACAGCAATTCAAACCCTGAAATAAATTATATAAATAATATCTTTAAACTTACACCTTCCACAATTTTTTTTAACATTCCTGATGTTTCATTAGTTGTTTTATTGAAAGTACCATAATCATTTCCACCTGGCACTAGTGTAAAATTAAAACCCAATCTGTCCGCTAATTCAGTTATCAAATCAACTCCATACCCTTCGTATTGATCATTACCCACCAGTTTTTTATGAGTTTTCACTAAACTGGCATAAGGTTTGGTCTAATGATAGACAATGTTAACGAAAATGTGAAGATCTGTCATAATTATATATCTATATCTTACCTCAACTGATATTAGCACCACGAAAGTTTTATTAACTAGGGAATCATCAATGGTTTGGCTTACCAAATTTTTAAGTGGAGGACGTTCAATAGTTAAATTGGTATATTCGTTCCACGTGCCAATTTTAACAATTCCTGATTGCTGTAATTCAATAACATCAAACGTATATCCTTTACGAATATTACCTTCGAAGTAAATACGGCCTGTAATAGTTTTATCTGAGATATCGAGCTATAAGGAATTTATAAAAAATATGAAGTCATTAAAAAATTGCGGCAACAGAGTTATGAGTTATGAGTATTATAAAAGTACCGATTTCATGTAATTTCCGAAAGTTGAACCATCATTTTGCACATTATCATTTGTGTCTGAGCAATTAAGTGGTTGAGGATTATATATTAAGTGCTTAGTAGTTTCAGCAAATACCTGTATGGCATCATATGTCAATGCCATATCAATTGTTATAGGACAAGATCCTATAAGGACAAATGAAACTTTTTCAATAAATCCAAAATACAATAATATTTATATTTTTTTTAGTCGAAATTGAGAAATAAAAAATATAAAAGTATTTTTATATAACAAAAAGCTATATATCATTTATATACTATATCTTTACCTTCTTCGTTAGTTTTTTCTTTGGGCTTTCCGTACTGCATTGCAAGTTTATCTTCATTTAAACGATCCATTAACTCTCGTATTTGTGGGTTATCTATTGAAAACATTCGGAAACCAGTAATATTAACTTCACTATATTTAAATTCTTCCAAGTCAAAAGTTTGAAAGTCCAAGTTCCCGATTATATACTTATAGTCCTCATTAATCATACCGACTTGCTGTGCCTAAAAGACTAACCGTTATTAATAAACGTTTGATGTAATCAATATGTTTTAAATAAACCTGCTTTAAAAGCTCAGCAACCGATGGTGTAGACCCCACAACTACAATTCTATTATCTACAGATTTCCGAACACGACGCAGTACGGGTTTGTAGTTACCA